CAAGTGCTCATGGAACATTCTCCAGGATAGATCATATCTTGGGTCACAAATCAAGCCTTGGTAAATTTAAGAAAATTGAAATTGTATCAAGTATCTTTTCCGACCACAACGCCATGAGACTAGATATCAATTATAGGAAAAGATCTGTAAAAAATACAAACACATGGAGGCTAAACAATACACTACTTAATAACGAAGTGATCACTGAAGAAATCAAAGAGGAAATTAAAAAATACCTAGAAACAAATGACAATGGAGATACAACGACCCAAAACCTATGGGATGCAGCAAAAGCAGTTCTAAGAGGGAAGTTTATAGCAATACAAGCCCACCTTAAGAAGCAGGAAACATCTCGAATAAACAACCTAACCTTGCACCTCAAGCAATTAGAGAAAGAAGAACAAAAAAACCCCAGAGTTAGCAGAAGGAAAGAAATCATAAAAATCAGATCAGAAATAAATGAAAAAGAAATGAAGGAAACAATAGCAAAGATCAATAAAACTAAAAGCTGGTTCTTTGAGAAGATAAACAAAATTGATAAACCATTAGCCAGACTCATCAAGAAAAAAAGGGAGAAGACTCAAATCAATAGAATTAGAAATGAAAAAGGAGAAGTAACAACTGACACTGCAGAAATAAAAAAAATCATGAGGGATTACTACAAGCAACTCTATGCCAATAAAATGGACAATCTGGAAGAAATGGACAAATTCTTAGAAATGCACAAACTGCCAAGACTGAATCAGGAAGAAATAGAAAATATGAACAGACCAATCACAAGCACTGAAATTGAAACTGTGATTAAAAATCTTCCAACAAACAAAAGCCCAGGACCAGATGGCTTCACAGGCGAATTCTATCAAACATTTAGAGAAGAGCTAACACCTATCCTTCTCAAACTCTTCCAAAATATAGCAGAGGGAGGAACACTCCCAAACTCATTCTACGAGGCCACCATCACCTTGATACCAAAACCAGACAAGGATGTCACAAAGAAAGAAAACTACAGGCCAATATCACTGATGAACATAGATGCAAAAATCCTCAACAAAATACTAGCAAACAGAATCCAACAGCACATTAAAAGGATCATACACCATGATCAAGTGGGGTTTATTCCAGGAATGCAAGGATTCTTCAATATACGCAAATCTATCAATGTGATTAACCATATTAACAAATTGAAGGAGAAAAACCATATGATCATCTCAATAGATGCAGAGAAAGCTTTTGACAAAATTCAACACCCATTTATGATAAAAACCCTGCAGAAAGTAGGTGTAGAGGGAACTTTCCTCAATATAATAAAGGCCGTATATGACAAGCCCACAGCCAACATCATCCTCAATGGCGAAAAACTGAAAGCATTTCCACTAAGGTCAGGAACAAGACAAGGTTGCCCACTCTCACCACTCTTATTCAACATAGTTTTGGAAGTTTTAGCCACAGCAATCAGAGAAGAAAAGGAAATAAAAGGAATCCAAATCGGAAAAGAAGAAGTAAAGCTGTCACTGTTTGCAGATGACATGATACTATACATAGAGAATCCTAAAGATGCTACCAGAAAACTACTAGAGCTAATCAATGAATTTGGTAAAGTAGCAGGATACAAAATTAATGCACAGAAATCTCTGGCATTCCTATATACTAATGATGAAAAATCTGAAAGTGAAATCAAGAAAACACTCCCATTTACCATTGCAACAAAAAGAATAAAATATCTAGGAATAAACCTACCTAAGGAGACAAAAGACCTGTATGCAGAAAATTATAAGACACTGATGAAAGAAATTAAAGATGATACAAACAGATGGAGAGATATACCATGTTCTTGGATTGGAAGAATCAACATTGTGAAAATGACTCTACTTCCCAAAGCAATCTATAGATTCAATGCAATCCCTATCAAACTACCACTGGCATTTTTCACAGAACTAGAACAAAAAATTTCACAATCTGTATGGAAACACAAAAGACCCCGAATAGCCAAAGCAATCTTGAGAATGAAAAACGGAGCTGGAGGAATCAGGCTCCCTGACTTCAGACTATACTACAAAGCTACAGTAATCAAGATAGTAGGGTACTGGCACAAAAACAGAAAGATAAATCAATGGAACAGGATAGAAAGCCCAGAGATCAACCCATGCACATATGGTCACCTTATCTTTGATAAAGGAGGCAGGAATGTACAGTGGAAAAAGGACAGCCTCTTCAATAAGGGGTGCTGGGAAAATTGGACAGGTACATGTAAAAGTATGAGACTAGATCACTCCCTAACACCATACACAAAAATAAGCTCAAAATGGATTAAAGACCTAAATGTAAGGCCAGAAACTATCAAACTCTTAGAGGAAAACACAGGCAGTACACTCTATGACGTAAATCACAGCAAGATTCTTTTTGACCCACCTCCTAGAGAAATGGAAATAAAAACAAAAATAAACAAATGGGACCTAATGAAACTTCAAAGCTTTTGCACAGCAAAGGAAACCATAAACAAGACCAAAAGACAACCCTCAGAATGGGAGAAAATATTTGCAAATGAAGCAACTGACAAAGCATTAATCTCCAAAATTTATAAGTAGCTCATGCAGCTTAATAACAAAAAAACAAACAACCCAATCCAAAAATGGGCAGAAGACCTAAATAGACATTTCTCCAAGAAGGTATACAGACTGCCAACAAACACATGAAAGAATGCGCAACATCACTAATCATTAGAGAAATGCAAATCAAAACTACAATGAGATATCATCTCACACCAGTCAGAATGGCCATTGTCAAAAAATCTAGAAACAATAAATGCTGGAGAGGGTGTGGAGAAAAAGGAACCCCCTTGCACTGTTGGTGGGAATGTAAATTGATACAGCCACTGTGGAGAACAGTATGGAGGTTCCTTAAAAAACTACAAATAGAACTACCATATGACCCAGCGATCCCACTACTGGGCATATACCCTGAGAAAACCATAATTCAAAAAGAGTCATGTACCAAAATGTTCACTGCAAATCTATTTACAATCGCCTGGAGATGGAAACAACCGAAGTGTCCATCATCAGATGAATGGATAAAGAAGATGTGGCACATATATACAATGGAATATTACTCAGCCATAAAAAGTAACGAAATTGAGCTATTTGTAATGAGGTGGATAGACCTAGAGTCTGTCATACAGAGTGAAGTAAGTCATAAAGAGAGAGACAAATACCGTATGCTAACACATATATATGGAATTTAAGGAAAACAAATGTCATGAAGAACCTAGGGGTAAGACAGGAATAAAGACACAGACCTACTAGAGAATGGACTTGAGGATATGGAGAGGGGGAAGGGTAAGCTGTGACAAACCGAGAGAGAGGCATGGACATATATACACTACCAAACGTAAGGTAGATAGCTAGTGGGAAGCAGCCGCATGGTACAGGGAGATCAGCTCGGTGCTCTGTGATCGACTGGAGGGGTGGGATAGGAAGGGTGGAAGGGAGGGAGACGCAAGAGGGAAGAGATATGGGAACATATGTATATATATAACTGATTCATTTTGTTGTAAAGCAGAAACTAACACACCATTGTAAAGCAGGTATACTCCAATAAAGATGTGAAAAATAAATAAAGGAAAAAAAAGAATAAAGCATAGATATATAGTAACTTCAATATAAAGTTCAATACAATACATATATCTCTGAATAAAAAGGCCACATGTAATATCCAGGGAGTAGAAACAACCCAAATGTCTATTAAATGATGAATGGATAAATAAAATGTTGTTTATACATACAATGGAAAATTACTCAGCCATAGAAAGAATGAAGTATGATACATGTAACAAAATGTCCAGAATAGGGCTTCCCTGGTGGCACAGTGGTTAAGAATCCGCCTGCCAATGCAGGGGACACAGGTTTGAGCACTGGTCCAAGAAGATCCCACATGTCGCAGAGCAACTAAACCCATGCGTCACAATTACTGAGCCTGCGCACCACAACTACTGAAGCCCACGCGCCGAGAGCCCGTGCTCTGCAACAAGAGAAGCCACTGCAATGAGAAGCCCACGCACTGCAACGAAGAGTATCCCCCCTTCCCCGCAACTAGAGAAAAGCCTGCGCGCAGCAACAAAGACCCAACACAGCCAACAATAAATAAATTAAATAAATAAATTTATAAAAGAAAATGTCCAGAATAGGCAAATCTATGGAGATAGAAAGTAGACTGGTGGTTGCTTAAGGATGAGAGGTTGGGGGAAAATGGGGAGTGACTACTAATGGGTATGGGGTATTTTCTGGAATAATGAAAATGTTCTATAATTGATTGTGGTGTAGTTACACAACTCTCTGAATAAACCACTGAATTGTATACTTTAAATAGGTGAATTGTATGATATATGAATTATATCTTAATGAAGCTATTATAGAAAAAAAATAAAAGGCTACATGTATATAGTATGATCCCATTTTGTAAAAAAAAAAAAAAAATTCACTCACAAATACTTAGTAAAAAGTCGGGATAAATCAATTCAAGAGTTAAGTGCCATTTCCAAATGAAGAAACCACGTGTAATTATTATTTTGCTTCTATATCTTTTCTATAATAAATTTGGATTACCTGAGTATTAAAGTTGCAGTAGCCTGTAGATGGCAGGCTACAGTAAGCGCTTCTCCTAGAAACTACTATACTAAACTTTAATGCAAAGCCACCAGGAGACCTGTTTACTGGCTCCCTGGCTGTTGGCAGAACTCTCAATGGCAAATCTTGACAGATGGTAGTAGCACAGATATACCTCCGGAGAGATAAACTGGAGTGTCAAAAAGTGGTTACTAACCATGACCAAATAAATGTCAAGTACACAAAGGAGATGTAAATGGCAAAATCCACATGTGTTTTAACTACACTACAACAACCACATAAAAAACCAAAATAAATGTCTGATCTCTTTTAATCATAAAGAAGAAAAAGTGGACACTAATGGGTAATGGAAGTTTTATGGTTATAAAGGGGTATACTTGCCTCTCTGTAGAACAAATCTGAATTATTGTAGACATCATAAGCCAGAAGATTAGTCTGTGTCCCCACTAAAAGAGCATCATAGCCAAGTTCAGGGTTCAGTACTCCTGCAGTCAGGCAGCTGACTGTCTGGTTAATGTTGAGAAGTGAAACATCAGACTCCAGGGGGCTCTGGAAGACCCTGGATGCACTGAAATGCTGGCTCCGCGTATGAGGGTTGTGAATAAAAACCTAAAACAAAAACAGTTAATTACATCCCCTTAAAATACCAAAAATGTAAAATTAACATCCATCTTTTTAAAAAAGACTCAGGTTATTAACAGATATCAACATTAACAAGTGACTTTAATCATCTACAAAACTTAAAACACCCATACACAGTTCTGCGCATGGCTGGCTTTCAATCGCTGCAAACTCTGGAAACCCAGTGGTTCTTAGCCTTATAAAGAACAAGGTAATAGCCAAGATCTAGTTGTTGCTTCCCAGAGCAGCTTATATACTACCCACTAATAGAGTGTTAAAGCACTCTTACAAACCATCCTTTTCCTGGTCAACCTGTAGGAAGCTGCTACCAGCTACAATGTGATTGCTACACACGAAGATCAGAGAAAATAGAATAATAAACACTTCCTTTAGTATCTTCCATCCAAGCACCTAACTAATTCACTTCCTAACCCTTAAAACTCGTAGTTTTAAGGTCTGGTAGGTAGTAGATTTGTCTTACAAACCTAAACTGAGTCACACAAAGCAAGCTTCTTGAAGGCTTTCATAGTCTATACTAGTAAGATAGAATTAAATAATTAGCTCAAAGTTAATTAATTTAGCAGTTTCAACTATCATAAATATAATCATCTGAGTATCCCTACAAATCTTTAAATTTCCTTGGGCTTCTGTAGGAGGTTTAGACTAAAACACGCATCTCAAGAGGGGTGATACTGCCCTCAAGATGGGTGGCTGGGTTTGGGGTGGGGGGATCTTAGACATTAGAATGGCTTGTACCCTCCAAAGGGTCTTTATAAAAACTGATATACTGTATATCTGTGGTATTAAAATTTCATTAGGGAAATTTTAATTTTCTGAAAAAAACTCCATGGGAGGCAATATGGAAAAAAAGAAAAGGATGAGAAACTGCACTAGAGATGCCTTAAGCCCCTTCTAGTTCTAAAATTTGCTAATTTTAAATGAGCATTTCACCCCTTGGTATAAATCTGTAACCAGGTGAGGCCGGTTTGGTTGCTCCACTCAAAAGGCCAATACTCGAGAGACAAGTGTTGGTGGAAAAGGAAACTTTGCTTTACGCAAGAGGCCAGCAACCTGGGAAGATGGTGCACTAACGTCCTAAGACCATCTCCAAGTTGCCAGTTAGGAGACAAAGGTTTTAAAGGCAGTGTGAGGGAGGGATCCGCAGGGTGCATGAGCAGCTCGTGCACAATTCCTGGATTGGCTGGCAACAAGCTGAAGTTTCAAGCATCACCTATCTTCTGGCTTCAACCGGTCTGGGGTCTACGTGCTTGTGATCAGCAGTTTTCATCTGGTAGGAGTCTGCTCCCTGTAAAAACAGCTTAGGAATGTGTGTCAGACTTTTACAGCTTTCAGGGAACTGGGAGCTGGGAGTTCCCCGTGACTCTTTATGGCTGGTTTAGAGTCTAAATTGTTGCCAGTTTCCCAGCTCAACAGCTTGTTTCTCCATCTTCCCATTCCTAATAATTAACTCTTGAGCCAGCCTTCTGAGACTCAGGGCAGGCCTGGGAGACTAAAGCTTTTCTACAAACAAGAGGCAGGTAGAGGACATGGAGGGGAGGGGTCTGTCCCAGGAAGGCCCCATAGGGTCCAGCTTGCTTACAATGCCTGCTTTTCTTTGATAATCCTCAATCCTGAGGAGGAACAGGTGTGGAACAAGAAAGGAAGCAAAGTTTGGGATAGAGAAGTTAATTATAAACTCAGCAGAGGAACTCAGTTTTAGGACTGGTTTTAAATCCAAGCAGGATTAGTTTTAGATTATTATCTAAACAAGGTAACCTAGTCGACAAAAAATAATTTTTAAAAGATTGGTTAGAAACATAGAGATAGTGTGTGTAGCTACTGAATATTGTGTTCATGTTCTCATTTGTGTAATACTTTACAACATGCTTTTATAAACATTACTGCATTTGGTCCTCACAACAACATTTGGTCCTCCTGATATACAGAGGAGGTCAGAAGGGTTAAGGCCCTTTCCCAAGGTCTCACCACTGGTAAGTGACAGGGCTAAGATGCAAGCCTGGTGTCTGGCTCCAGTAATCTCTAGCCACATCTCACTTCCTTTTATAAAAGTTCTGAACAAAAGAATTCTTACAGAGTCTTCTAGTAATTAGACAGGCTGAGAAAGAACAGGAGGAAAAATAACCTATGGACTTCACGTTCGCTGTTATTGGGATGAAAACAATTTGGAAGTTGCTGTCACGAGCTAGAGTCCCAGGAGTCTGGTTTCTCCCTAGTTCCCCTCCTGCTGTTCTCTGCATACAGCAATCAGTGCCCTGGAGACTCACCTGTCCCTCAGGCTCAGTCACACAACAAACAGATCACTCCCAGTGCCTTCAGCCAAAGGACTGGCTGAAGTTCACTTATCTGTTCTGGCTGAGGGAGTGTTTCTGACAATAGAAATTCCAACTAGGCCCTCCAATTCCACGGTGAGAGGAAACCTGTCCCCCGATGGACTAATGTTCATCCTGCAAGAAACCCCTTTTTAAAACATCCTTGCTCAGGTTCAGAGACCAGATCCCAATAAGTCAGCCCCCCATTCACAACGGAGTCCCACTGAAAATGACAAAATCCTGTTTCTGGAGACATGGGCCCCAACAGTCAAGGAGAGCTTTAGCCTTACCTGCAATGTTTGTTTTTAAAGGAAAATATATTTGTGTATTATTTGGATCATAAAATAGTACCAATTTTTTCTTTAAGTCTAAAGATAAAAGATCAGGTCAGGACTTCAGATTTGTTTTTGAAGCTCTGAATATAAAGTGTCCAATTACACAGAACATAGGAACTTCTCTCTCTCTCCCTTTTTTCCCCCCATCTTCAGAAAGAGACTTAGAATCCCTGCCTCCCACTCCAGGTCACATTCTAATGAAAGTGGTTCCACAGAAACCTCTGCCTGATCTTCCCGCTTCCACTCCTATACTCCCCTCCCTGCAGCTCTGTTGCAGCACCAGCCACTAATCCTTTATCTAAAACGTAAACCGAATCCCATCACGCACTTTATTAAAACCAAGGTCTTTACCGTGGCCTACAAGGCCCTATATGATCCAGCCGCTGGCTACCCCACTGCTTCCCTCAATCCATTCCAGCCCCAGCACCTTTCTTGTGTTTCTGGAACACACCAAGTGTATCTCTACCTCAGAGCCTTTGTTTGTACTTGCTGCTACACTTACTCCACCTATCTGCAGGGCTGGTTTCCTCATTTGCTTCAAACCTCTGATCCACAGTTATCAGAGGCCTATTTGATCACCCTGTCTAAAATAGCAATCTCCCATCACCCCCAACCCCTTACTCTGTTTTTCTCCCATGGAGACAGTGTGTGTGTTTCTGTTAACTATCTGGCTCCCCCTCTCAAAGTAACCTCCAAGGGGATGAGACTTGTCTGTCACCTTCACCCTTGTAACTGCAGAGCTAAGAACAGTGCCCAGCACATAGCAAGCCCTCAATAAATCAGGGGCTGAGCTAATATCAATGGGATCTTTTCAACCCACTTATGTAGCTGCTGTGCACCTACAGCAGAAGCAATATGAATTTTTGGTATTTGTCAGTGCCTACTAACATTATTACATACGAGGCTCTGTGCTAAATGCTTTCCTCCATTATACAACTTAATGAAGATGAATCATTACTTTTTACTTATGTATCCCAAGGCATGGCATATGAGAAAACATACAACATAGGTGGCAGTGTCTCGAAAACTGTAAATCATTATATAAATGTTAGCTTATTAAATCCACACTGGGTCAGAGAACATGCACTCTAATCTCATTTCTACCGCTTTCCAGTTGAACAGCCTCAAACATTGCTTTGAACCTCTCTGAACCATTATTTCTAATCAGTAAAGTGGGAGTAATAAGAAGAAAATAACAGCTAACAGTTAGTGACCACTGCCTATATGCCAAGCACATGACATGTATCAGTAGTAACTTACTTAATCCTCTTAGCAACCCTATACTAAGTACCTTGCTCAAGGTCATGAACTTAGTAGGTACCGGAGCCACAATCTACGACACCTGTGCTATATGGCAGCGGTTGGCAATTTAGCAAGGATCCTGAGATGATTAACGTAATAAGGCTTTGCACCTGTTAGAAGTTATTACGCTTGGCGTCATAGTATTCCATGGTTTGGGGGCATGCCTCCATCAACACACAGTTTCTTGATTTGCCTTGTCTGCTGTCCTTCTGGACTATAAGCTTTCTGAAAGTCAGGACTCCAACTTTATCTCTGAATCCCCAAGATCTACCACGAAGGAGGTGTCCAGTAAGTCTGGTGAATGCTGAATGACCATATCTTCTTCGTCTCTGCGATTCCCACACCTTGCCCAGCACCCGTCACATAGTAAGCTCCTAAAAGGTACTTAGTAAATAAATTATAGGAAGAGACGTGACTGTACGTGGATAAAGATCGAAAATGCAATTTGAATCACTTAAGTTAAGCGTCTTTGTGATTTTTTTTTCCCCCCGTAAAGTTGTTGGCTCTGAGAGGCAGTCTGAGATAGCAGGAGTTCCAGAACGAAGGGAAGAGGCCCTGGGCTCTAATCTGGGGTCTGCCATTACTGCTAACCCTGACCAAGCCATTCCCCCTCTGGGGTCTTCTCTTCCGTAAGCTCCCTGTCTGTAGAGAGACACCAACATTGTCCGAGTCTAAGTGCCTGAAGACAAATTAACTGCTCAGAAAAGCCGTTCTGCGTGATTATTCACGATGTGTGCGCAGGATGGAGAGCTACGGAGGTTACCGGGCAACCCTGGCTGGGGGAGGAGCCTAAGAATGAGGAGCTAGACTGCAGGGACCTAGCGGGCAGAGGTTGTGGGGACTCGAGGGGCCCGGGCCCCGTGCGGGTGGGAACTTGTGGGAGCGGTTACCTTGCCTGCTTGGGTAGCGGCCGCCAGGCACGGGTGAGTCCCGTCGTAGCGCCCTACGGCCACCATGCGGGGGCTGATTTTGTGGCGCAGTTTCAGGGTGAACACAGGCAGCAGCATGATGGCGTCAGCTCAGGAGAAGAGGGCTAGTGGTCCGATACCGATGCAGCGAAGCCGGCCTCACCCGCGGCGGTGAAGAACGCGAGGAACCAGGCCGGGCGGGAACCTGAGCGAGACTGAGCTGGACCCCCGGCCACCGGCTTTTTCTGCGGCTGCGCAGGCCCGCCCACCTAGTTCTGCGGCTGCGCGGTCGGGCCTCAGGCTCGGCTGAGGCTGAAGCTGGGTCTCGGTGGTGGAGTCGTGTCTTTTGCAGCTGTAACTTACCCGCGTTGGATTCGACTCAACTAACAGGTCTGCAGTGGCGGTATCTGAGCCAGCGCACCCCTGGGGCTTCTTCTAGCACTGCAACCAAGCTGCCGCACCGTTGCAGACAACGCGCACGTCAACCACACTCCAAAGGGTCATTAATTAAAGAAACATGCCTTGAATGCCTACTCTTCTCCTTAGTTTAGCTGTTATGTTGATGCCCACAGTAGTTACAAAATATATAGACTCTTTTAAAAAAATGTTTTAAACTCTCACCTTTAAATGGTCCATGGCCCTTTGTAAGATGCTCTATAAATTTTAAATGCGAACACGAAAAATTGAAAAGTCATTAAACTTCTCGACATTCAGATAATTTATGAGGGTTCACTATGTGTCAGGCACTGTTCTAGACAACAGAGGTATGGTAGTTAACATGAGACAAACCTCTGCCCTCCTGGAGCTGACCTCCATTTCGGGGGAGACAAACACTAACTGAGAAATACATGTGGGAGGGGCCTTTTGGTAGTAAGTGGTAAGGAGGGAAGAGGAATAGACGTTTGGAGGTGGTGCAGTTTTAAATAGGTGGTGGGTAAGAGACCTCACTGAGAAAGTCACGTCCAGGCAAGAACCTGAAAGAACTAAGGGAGTCAGTTTTGAGGAAGAGTGTTCCAGCAGAGGAAATTCAGGTGCAAAGGTACCGAGGGATCGCTCTGGCTACCTTCTGGAAATAAACGGTTAGGGCTGAGGGACGAGATGAATGGGAAGCAACAGAGGAGACTGAGAAGGAAGCCAAGTGAAGACAGTGTTGCCAGGAGTAGGAAAATAACCGTGTCAGATGCTGTAGGTGGGTCTTGAAAGATGGGTTCTAGAATATTCTTGATATTTGCATTTTGTAATTACAGCCATACAAATGAGCATCTTTTTTCAAGCGTACTGGGGGTCTGTGACTAGTTGTAATCTCTTCTGGAGATAATGTCAAAAGACTAAATTTGGGCTTCCCTGGTGGCACAGTGGTTAAGAATCCGCCTGCCAATGCAGGGGACTCAGGTTCGAGCCCCGGCCCGGGAAGATCCCACATGCCACGGAACAACTAAGCCCGTGCGCCACAACTATTGAGCCTGTGCTCTAGAGACTGCAAGCCACAACTACTGAAGCCCACGTGCCACAACTACTGAAGCCCGCGCGCCTGGAGCCTGTGCTCCACAACAAGAGAGGCCACCGCACTGAGAGGCGGCCCGTGCACCACAGCGAGGAGTGGCCCCCACTCGCTGCAACTGGAGAGAGCCCGCGCACAGCAACGAAGACCCAATGCAGCCAAAAATAAAATAAATAAATAAATTCAATAAATAAATTTATAAAAGACTAAATTTGAGGGCCTCGATGGAATGTAAAGCCTGAGCCAATAGCCCGATAAACCCCATCTGATAGGCCCTGCCTCTGACTTCTCCCAGCTCCTTTCTGCCCCAGTGTCTCTGCTTCACTGCCTAGACCCCACAGTCCTGTAGCACTTACCCAAGCAGTCCTGTAATGGAAATTGTCCTGGGTCTGTCCTCCTGCCTTTTACCATCAGAACTTTGTGAGGTACCCCTCCCATCAGCCCCTAGACTCTGCCTCCAGGGAGGCATCAGCTCTCTGAATCCACTCCATTCTGCTAATAGCTGATCACAAGGCTGACAGGCCACCCCTCCCAGGAACAGCTTGAAAGGAATAAATCTCTAATAGAGGTCATCTCACAGTCTTCATTTTTCTGACAAACATGTATTGAGGGTCTCTGTGTGCTAGTCAGTGTTCAAGTAGTTAGGGACACCATGGTATACAAGGAAGACATAATCTGTGCCCTCATGGAATTTACATCTAAGAGTGCATTCATTTGCTAATACACCACCATAACAAAATACCACAAACTGGGTAGCTTAAACAACAGAAGTTTATGCAGTCACAGTTGTAGAGGCTGGAAGTCCAAGATCAAGATGCCGAAACAATTGATTTCTCCTGAAACCTCTCTCCTTGGCTTGCTGCCTCTTCCCATGGTTGTCCCTCTGTGCACACACCCTTCTCTGTGTGTCCAAATTTCCTCTTCTGGTAAGGATACCAGTCTGATTGGCTCAGGGCCTTCCCTAAGGGCCTCATTTTAAGGTAATCACCTCTTTAAAGGTCCTAACTCCAGATAGGCGCGTTCTGAGTACTGGGTGTTAGGACTTCAACAAATGAATTTGGATGAAGGGGTACACAGTTCAGCCTGTATCAAGGGGACAGGGAGAAACAGACACTGAACAGGAAAGCAAATAAGATCACTTTCTCTGATAAGGCTGATGTGCTGAGGCTCAGAAGAGGCTTTTCAGAGGAAGTGACATTTGAAGCAAGAGCTTTATGACAAGACAGTGTCAGCCATTAGAAGATGTGAGGGAAGGGCATTCCAGACAGAGGGAACAGCAAGGGCAAAGGCCGAGGCTGGGCACATTTGAAGATCAGGAAGAAGACAAGGTGGCGGGAGCCTAGCGAGTGAGAAAGAGAGGCCAGGAGGGGCCACAACACACAGGACTGTGAGCCACACCAAGGAGCTTGGGTTTTAGTCTTTAGCAGGCAGACAAGTCCATGGCCTGCTGGATATCCACGTAAGGCTGGTCTTGGCCTCCATCCACCCGGTGAAGCCTCGCTCACTCAGTGTACTGCCTTGGGGGCCTGCAACTTTGCTTTCGCTCTTCCCAACAGGACAGTACCAGCAGCAGTGGCATCCATCACTGACATTTTTTTTTTTTTTTGCGGTACGCGGGTTTCTCACCACTGTGGCCTCTCCCGTTGCGGAGCACAGGCTCCGGACGCGCAGGCCCAGCGGCCATGGCTCACGGGCCCAGCCGCTCTGCGGCACGTGGGATCCTCCCGGACCGGGGCACGAACCCGTGTCCCCTGCATCGGCAGGCGGACTCCCAACCACTGTGCCACCAGGGAAGCCCCATCACTGACATTTAATGAGCATTTTCTAGGTGCCATTCTGAGTACTTTATATGGATCATCTCTCTTAATCCTCCCTATGAGGGAGATACCACTGTTATCCCATTTGACAGATGACAAAACCTTCCCAGAGTCGCCTCCTCCCTTCATAACTCTTCACTGGTTCCCCATTTGCAGCCAAAGTAAGTTCAAGCTCTTTGACAGATTACACAAAGATCTCCAAGTTCTGACCACTGTTGGCCTCTGCAGCCTCTGCTTTTGCTGCCTCCTGCCTCAAGCTCAGTCCCTTCTCAGCTGCTTTCTTAGCCGCTCTGCCTTTGCTCACACTAGCCCTCTGCCTGGAATGTCCTCACCCTCACCTCATAGGTTGGACAGCACCACTCCAGGGAGTCGTGTCTGACGGTCTCTCTTACAGCAGCTACCACACTTGGGAGGTAGCCTCCCTTCCTCTCTGTGCTTTCATGGGTCTCACAGCAGTCATATCATTTGCCATATTGGGGGTATTTGAGTCTTTGCATCACAACCCTAATTAGGAACAGCATGGATTCCCCAGAAGGGTTGAGAATCCCCATCCTCCCTGCCAAGCGCTGATCAGGGCAGGGACTTGGAGGGCTTCCAACCATGGCCAGGAGAGGCTGGCCTACAGTCTTCTCTACCTCTCACCACCCACTAGGAATCACTGGCTTTTCAGAGGGGACACATCTTCACATCAGGGAGATCTGAGGCTCCTGAGAACCCAAAACCTGGAGGGGAAGAGCCTGTGGGCTCTAGGTTGGCAGCATTCCATAACAGGTAAGCCCACAAGCCTTGAGAACCTGCAGACCTGGGTTTAAATTCCTCTTCGGTCAATCACTAGTTGAGACTGGGGCCCATCATTTAGTCCTCACGCCCACAGGTATCGAGTGCCTTCTCTGTGCCAGGCACTGGACACACTAACTCACTGAATCCTCGCAGCCACCCTGTGAGGGAGATTCTGTCATCCTCCCATTGTACAAGAGAGGAAACTGAGTCATGGGCGGTTTTATAACCTAAGTCCAAGGTCACACAGCTGGGAAGTGGCAGAACCAGGAGGGCTTGCCCAGGTGGTCTGGGCTCCAGAGCCTGAGCCGCTAACCACTGCACGTCCTGTCTCCTTCAGTCAACACCCCAAGCACCAGTGTCTCTTCTAGAAAAGAGAAAGATTAATAGTACCTACTTCTGGGGAATGTTGTTGTGAGAATTAGACCAACGAATATAAATAAACGACTTGAAGCAATGCCTGGCACTTAATAAGAGACCCCATAAATGGTTATTATCGTTGTTATTATAAGGTTATTATTATTACCTATAGCTGAAAAGGCTGCTTTTGACTTGTTAGGGTTGCTATTGTAATAAAGTTGGTGTTTTTTTGTTTTGTTTTTTTTTAGCAGGTAGCTTCGTTCCAAATATCCTCTCAGCACTGGGGTTAGAAAAACCAACCTCACTAGTCAAGGTCTGGTGGACCTAGGTGAGACCAAGAATTTAGATCCTGACTTACAGGGGCCATGCCTGCCACCTGCCTCTACCTCTGTGTCCTCACCTCGCCTATGCAAAGCACCCACACTAGAGGGTGTGCAGGTGTAAAGAACGGAGGCTCTCACATATTAGGACTCAGGATTAAAGGCCTAGACAGAGGCGGGGTGAGAGGGCCCCCAGGACCTGTGGCCTCCACTAGTCTAGTCACAGGGCTGACGTCTGGGAAGTGGACTGGTGCAGGGGAGCAGCTGGAGAAGAATTTTTGCCTTTATCTTTACGCACTGTGGTGTTGGCTGTTTTTACATTGAGTTTGGTTTACTTTTGTAATTAACACGTATGCACAACTTGAAAATAAAGGAGTGTGAGGGTGGGGACTGTCTGTGAACTTCAGAGATCCACAGCCTCTCCCCACCCATTGCCCCAGAACCTGCCGATAAAGGACCCCAGCTTTAAGTTTC